AAGAGCCGTTCAGTTTTGAACACTACCTCTTCATTGACAAACACTTCTGGAAAGTGGAACAAACGGAAGGACACGACCGCGAGTTCTGTGTCGAAGACCTCGAGAGCCAACAGCACTCGGAGTTTCAGTACAAATTCACACTAGCCTTCAGTTATCTGTCCGACCATATGGTAGAACACGACGACGAACTCAATCTCACAAATCATGTCTTTCTCCGTAATTATCCATATTTGCGACCAAAAAATGATATTTTGCTCATTAAACGGATAATTGGTTTGATTTAAAACCAAAAAAAAATTCAAACCCAATTAAAAACATCCATTTAGTGAACAAACCATTAAATGTTTTATAATAATAAAAAAAATCAATGTTTAACCACAGAAATGACGATAAGATCAAAGGATTACTACCTTCGGCACGAAACCCATGAAGTGATTGAAAACATCTTTGACGCCAACCATAGAGACCTGTATTATATGATTGGCGGCGATTACTATCCGTTTTACACACACTATTTCAACGCCACCGCAGCCTTTCAGCCGCAGTCGTTCACCGACGACGCCGTCACTGACGGACCAAACTTCGTACTCGTCCAGCAAAATATGACCGCTGATGGCGGCTATGATCGGGTAACACAAGTGCACTCCATCTTGGAAAAGATCAAGATCAGAAACACGACCGACACTTTTGGCAAATACATACCGGCATTNTTGTGGTCAAAGTTAAGGTCACACTTTGCCCATACCTTGCCTTGAATTTGCGCAAGGTTACCGCAGCCGATCGCGCATTCTCGATGTACAGCTCGATGATATCGATACTCTGTTTGGTTGTGTCCACAGTTTTTGTAGACGGCATTTTAATTAAATCAAAACATGTGCTAAAAAAACTATACACTTTTGTGATTAAAACAAACTTTGATTGACGTCCGTATCTCTACTGGTATTCAAATAGCGCTCAATTTAAAACTCTAGCTATATATGCCCAACTCTGTAGTAATCAAATTTATAAGTTTATATGTTTATAAGTAAACCCTTATTAAATGCTCTATGTTTAATTTTACTTTTCATTTAGACAATTCTAACGATACACTTGGAATAAATGATACTGTAGATGTGTGAATTGCATACAAATTTAACTTTTATTTATTTTTAAAAATAAATATTTTGAAGCATTGTTACATTTAATTCCTATAAGACTTGAAAATCATCGACAAATTGTAATGAAAAGTACGTCTATTTCGAGTAATTTCTTATAAGACGTGTTATAAGAATTAATTAATTAAAAATATATTTATATTAGGTTTCATTAAACGCATTTATATTTAAAAATCATAAACAAAACTAATTTCAACGCATACTTCGTAAAAATCAATTGTAATCAAAAGATTAAATAACAATGCTTTTCAAATCAAGTATAATATTATGTAAGTCTTGGATAATACCGGTTGTAATGAATTAAATGAAATGACAATTAAAACTAATTACTTAAAGCATTGCTGTCTATATGTGTGGACAGCAAACGAGCGTTTGACTCAACAAATATGTTCAGAGCTTTGTCCAAAAATAACAATATGTTTGATTTGGGATTCACGACAACATATGTGGGCAAATATCCGTTCACTTTTGAACACTACCTCTTCATTAGTAGAGACTTCTGGAAAGTGCAACAAATTAAAGGACACGACCGCGAGTTCTGTGTCCCAAACCTCGAGAGCCATCAACACTCGGAGTTTGACCACAAGTTCACACTAGCCTTCAGTTATCTGTCCGACCATATGGTTGAACACGACGACGAACTCAATCTCACAAACCATGTCTTTCTCCGTAATTATAGTTCATATATACGATCATAATATTGATTAGTGACAAAAAACGTGACATTTATAAAAACTATCAAAAGTTTTATAATAATGGAAAAAAAATCAATTTATTTTTAACAACAGAATTGACGTTAAAGTCGAGCCAATTATACCCGTTGTTTGAATCCCACGAACTCATTGAACACATCTTTGACGCCAATCATATAGACTTGAATTATATGGTTGGCGGCGCTTACTATCCCTTTGATATACACCACTTCAACGCCACCGCAGCCTTTCAGCCGCAGTCGTTCACCGACGACGCCGAGACTGACGGACCAAACGTTGTGTTCGTCCAGCAAAATATGACCGCTGATGGCGGCTATGATCGGGTGTCAGAAGTGCACTCTATTATGGGAAAATACGATATCAGAAATACGACCGACACTCTCGGCAAATACATACCGACCTTTATTAAAGACGTCGACCGACACCTGTATATCAATGTAATACTGCCCACACGTATCGGTGGCGACACCGAAGACGGCAAACCCGCGGCTATTCTTATACTCCTTCACGAAGAAGTGATCAAATATTGCGTAACCGAAGAGAAAGCTCTTCACGAAGATGTGGGTCATATTTTTGAAATTATTGTTTTAATTGTGGTTAATTTAATTTAATTTTAATGGTGTGTTTTTTGTATTTGTTTTTCAGTGTAAACCCGAGAAGTTGAAGCAATTGTTGAGATGTCCCCCTGAAAAGGATGAGGTATTTGTTTGATAAAATGTATTAGAGTTTTATTATTTTTTAATTTAATGTTATACTTTATAGCTATAATAACCGGTGATTTGGACGTATCACTCGACTCGATAGATGTAATTAATTATAATTAGTAATCGTTATGTTAATCAAAGTTAAATTCTTATAATCGCTTTTGTAAAACATCATAATATGTATTCATGATATCATGTATCAATGATAATTTATTATGTATTGTATGTTCACATATTTAAATAATTCAACACATTATTGTTAACAATATAATACACTATTGAAAATAATTGTATTTATATATTCTGTACACAATATATAGGGAATGAAAGTCCTTTTCATTATAATGATAATCAATATAATGAGTGCATTAATTATAATTAATCGACAAATTATTAAAAAACAATAATCACTTAAAAATACTTCAATGTTTTTAAAGTGATAGTATTTGTTGTAAATTCTTGTTATTCCCAAGAAATTTGAAAATCATTGACAAATTGTAATGAAAAGTATATTTCGATTGATTTCTTATAAGACGTGTTATAAAAAAAGTAATTAATTAAAAAATATATTTATATTTTATTTAATTAAAATCTCAACACATTTACATTTACACGTTATAAAAACAAAATAGTCTAGTTTTAACGCATACCGTATATCACAAAAAATCAAACCAATTGTAATCAAAAGATTCAATAACAATGCTTTTCAAATGGTGTATAATATTATGTAAGTCTCGGATAATAACGAATAAAATGAAATTACAATTAAAATTAATGTCTTGTTTAAAGCATTGCTGTCTATATGTGTTGACTGCAAACAGTTAAACTCGACAAATATGTTCACAGCTTTGGCCAAAAACAACGGTATCTTTGATTTTGGGTTCACCACAACATATGTGGGCGAAGAGCCGTTCAGTTTTGAACACTACCTCTTCATTGACAAACACTTCTGGAAAGTGGAACAAACGGAAGGACACGACCGCGAGTTCTGTGTCGAAGACCTCGAGAGCCAACAGCACTCGGAGTTTCA